AAAACAGTTCCATACCTTTTGAGAAATTATGAAAACTACGAAAACACTGACGCTGGTTTGGCGTGATTAGGTTTGAGATACAACCTCCTTCTCATTCTGTCAAAAATGTTCTCACGTCCGATCAGGAAAATATGTCTCTTTTCCCCCCGGAGTACCAGAACATGCACATACCACGTGCTAAACACGTACACAAACTTGCGTGCCAAACATAAATTAAATGAGTTTAATAAGTTTATTATAGTTGTATACTTATGGAACACATCAGTTATAATCATTCTACTTCCCATTATCTACGTTTTTCTTTGCTTATGGATATTATTTTCCGTAGGTCTATAGTACTTAGCCGTGGCTGATTCTGACATCAGTATCACTGAAAAGTTATAGTCTCGCGTCCTTGGCAAAATCTCGTGTCCTTCGCAAAGTCTCGTGTCCTTGGCAAACATGATCAAAGGGCCGTTACTCTATATTGATGTATATGGAGCATACGGTAGATAAAGCTCGCTCACTTAATTTGCATATCCACCATCTTGGTTTTTGAACATACTATAAAGGTATTGCAGGAGAAAAGAGAACGGGTTCATTATTAAAATTAACGGGGTCGGGCATACTTTCACCGGTCAATCATTACACGTGACACCGGTCCGTCTGCATTGATATAAAAATCATCATTTATTTTTTCGAGGTTTTCACGAGAATCACCAAACTGAAGCGATAAGCGCTATATAATATTTGTCGTCATTTTACAAACTGGCATGACTGCACCGTTTTCGATTACTATGAATGACATTAATGGGTTGTATTCAGGGCTTCGAGAACGGCAAGTTTCACCTTTTGTAATATACAGAACCGACTCCATATTCCGGTAACAATACCTAAAAAGCAGGTTAAAAGGCTCCCGAGACCTTTGAAATGGTCAATAATGCATTTGTGCTTAAAAGTTGAAGGAGTCAGCAATGGGGGTAACTAAGCTTATAACTTGCAGGAACGGCATGATGAAAACAAAAAAAAATCTTCAATAGTTAATCTGAATCCGGTGTCACCGTACAACCGTACCCAATAATTATTAGATTGCTACTGTAAGGTCATCAGGGAGCTTTCACGATGAGCGCTTGTAAAGTTATAGAAAGTCTAACACAGTTTAAATGAAAATGTGACTGAATACTACTGAATAAGTTCATTTGTCGAATAAATAGCACAAATTTACATACTCAGGCATTAAATGCACAGACATTACTTTACAAATAAAGTTTTGTTTTGCCTCTAATACTGAAAATGGAAACAGTCATAAAATAAAGAAGATCTATTTGTTATCCTTCCTACCGAATGAGTTAACTTGCTTTATCTTGATAATTATCTCGACAAGTCTAAAGAATTTGACCAAAAGCCATGTCAGTGTTATAAGATAACAAGATTTCCCTCCGTAGTCATCGCATAATGGCAAACGTAGGCGCAAGATGACGCATGTGCAGATTTACAGACTGACGTAATTCTGTATAGGACTCATGAACAATTTAATACCTTTTCATGAAATCGAGTAACGCTTTACATCAAGACAGGAAATATCCGACATAACATCCTCTATCAGACCAATTTCAGATGCACAAGGAAGTAATCTAGAAAAACGCCGGATGTGGATTTATACGAAACCGTGGATAGACAAATTGTTCTGATTCTGTCTCAGAAATCGATGGTTGTTGTTGCAATTAATGTCTTGTATGATGTTTAATTTTCTGCTTCATTAATCTCAGTTTCCCTATCATACACGTCCCACATAACACATACACACATATATGTCCGTGGTTACCATACTCCAGGATTCAAGCTCATAGGAACACATAGTGTTGTTCACCAGTAAGTTGATATGATTACATGTATATTTATATATATATAAATAAATAAGTTACAACTTGTGATTTACATGTTTTTGAATATTGGATGTATTAAAACCTTACTAGTTATCCAATTTGTAATATAATTGTCACATAAGGATTAGCGGGGGATGATAACATAATGACAACATTGAATTTTAGTAAATAGAAACACACTGCGCTTACTTCTCTCGAGATCAAATTATTTACACAGTAAACAGTGTTGGATTTGAGCTATCAGACTGGAATTAATACACTCTTTGGCTTCATCCCTTGGTTATCCATATTGTCTCTCTTCACACTTGTTCTGAAATGACCCTACCTGTTGCAAAGACGTTAAACTCACTAAAATGTATAGCTTTCTTGTACACGAAAAAGGGGTTTATATTATTGGTGTTAACAAGTGTTTATTCGTAAATCCTACTTAAAATTCTTTTATTTTATATAAAACTTATGTTACTTCATCAATACGATAACATCAGCACGGAAACTCTAGAACTGTCAAAATAACAAATGCTTCAAGAAAAACTAAATTTGATCATCGTGAAAGGTATTATCCGATCGTTGCAATCAACGATTAAAAGCCTCCATCAAGTTGGCATCATGGACCGTTTATTATTATTTATTTATTTATTTATTTATTTTTGAGGTTAAATTACAATAAGATTCAGGAATCCTATTGCAGTCACTGGAAGTCTTTTGTATTTAAACTTTTCAATCTCAATTTTTTCTAAATTTTGATAGCGATTGATAGTAAGTTGAAATTTTAAATACAAATAAGAAATTTTGAGATAGTAGCTAGAATGATTAGTTATAAAACGCGATTTTGATGTTGTTTGAGATATTTTTGGACAGGTATTGACAAAAATGCACGAGGCTAGACTTTTTTGGTGTTTATAATTAGTTAGCGAAGGATTGTAGCAAGAAATCGTATGCTTAAGCAAATGTGTGAATGCGGTGGCAAAACATGACGAAACCTTGAGCAGTATGACGTAAATGGGTCTGACTGCTGCTTAACCGTAATTTAAGTGTTAGCAATCTTTGTTTTTTCCTTCACACATTGATTTGGCTCATTTTAATGACGAAACATCGGTCACCTATATCTCTTGTGGCTGTCCGTGTTAACTACTCGATTCGGTCACGACTGAAAAGACTGGTTATCTTACCAACATATCACTGGTTCCTAAATGTCTTACCAACAAACCACTGGTTTCCAAATGTCTTACCAACAAACCACTGGTTTCCAAATGTCTTACTAACATACCACTGGTTCCCAAATGTCGTACCAACATACAACTGGTTCCAAAATGTCTTACCAACATACAGCTGGTTCCCAAATGTCTTACCAATATACCACTGGTTCCCAAATGACTTACCAACATACCACTGGTTCCAAAATGTTTTACTAACATACCACTGGTTCCCAAATGTTTTACCAATATACCACTGGTTCCCAAATGACTTACCAACATACCACTGGTTCCAAAATGTTTTACTAACATACCACTGGTTCCCAAATGTTTTACCAATATACCACTGGTTCCCAAATGACTTACCAACATACCACTGGTTCCCAAATGTTTTACCAACATACAACTGGTTCCCAAATGTTTTACCAATATACCACTGGTTCCCAAATATTTTACCAATATACCACTGGTTCCCAAATGTTTTACCAATATACCACTGGTTCCCAAATGACTTACCAACATACCACTGGTTCCAAAATGTTTTATTAACATACCACTGGTTCTTAAATGTTTTACCAACATACAACTGGTTCCCAAATGTTTTACCAATATACCACTGGTTCCCAAATGTCTTACCAACATACAACTGGTTCCCAAATGTTTTATCAATATACCACTGGTTCCCAAATGTTTTACCAATATACCAACGTTTCCAAAATGTTTTACCAATATACCACTGGTTCCCAAATATCTTACCAACATACCACTGGTTCCCAAATATCTTACCAATATACCAACGTTTCCAAAATGTCTTACCAATATACCACTGGTTCTCTAAATGTCTTACCAATATACCACTGGTTCTCTAAATGTCTTACCAATATACCACTGGTTCCCAAATATCTTACCAACATACCACTGGTTCCCAAATATCTTACCAATATACCAACGTTTCCAAAATGTCTTACCAATATACCGCTGGTTCCCTTAATGTCTTACCAACATACCACTGGTTCCCAAATGCTGAGGATGCCGTGAGATGTGAAGATTTACCTAGAGATTTAATTCAATATTTAGGACGGATATAGTGTGAATCCTGGTTTTGAAATCTGATAAATTGTCAATGAAGAATCGTCACTATGGCAACAACACATCCATGATAAATACTACCCAAAATTACCCCAAGTATGGCTTTGGTATATCTTTCGAACTCTACTTTTGGCGGATACAGTGATATAGCTTAGGGGCAAGATATTGTAAATGTGTGGATATACCGGAAGCAGATTAGGTAAACCGACGTGGTCTGATAAGTGACATGTACCTTTTCTGGTCCGATCAGAAAATCGATCCAAGGCTACCTTTATCAGCAATGAGTACATTAGCACTGGTCACCCGTCCAACCACGGTAGTATGACAGGTTACCTGACCGACCACGACGTCCGACCACGGTAGTATGACAGGTTACCCGTCCGATCACCGTAGTATGACAGGTTACCCGTCCGACCACGATAGTATGATAGGTTACCCGTCCGACCACGGTAGTATGACAGGTTACCCGTCCGACCACGGTAGTATGACAGGTTACCCGTCCGACCACGACGTCCGACCACGGTAGTATGACAGGTTACCCGTCCGATCACAATATTATGACAGGTTACCCGTCTGACCACGGTAGTATGACAGGTTACCCGTCCGACCACGGTAGTATGACAGGTTACCTGACCGACCAGGGTAGTATGACAGGTTACCCGTCCGACCACGACGTCCGACCACGGTAGTATGACAGGTTACCCGTCCGATCACGATATTATGACAGGTTACCCGTCTGACCACGGTAGTATGACAGGTTACCCGTCCGACCACGGTAGTATGACAGGTTACCTGACCGACCAGGGTAGTATGACAGGTTACCCGTCCGACCACGACGTCCGACCACGGTAGTATGACAGGTTACCCGTCCGACCACGGTAGTATGACAGGTTACCCGTCCGACCACGGTAGTATGACAGGTTACCCGTCCGATCACGATATTATGACAGGTTACCCGTCCGACCATGGTAGTATGACAGGTTACCCGTCCGATCACGATATTATGACAGGTTACCCGTCCGACCACGGTAGTATGACAGGTTACCCGTCCGATCACGATATTATGACAGGTTACCCGTCCGACCATGGTAGTATGACAGGTTACCCGTCCGACCACGGTAGTATGACAGGTTACCCGTCCGATCACGATATTATGACAGGTTACCCGTCCGACCACGATATTATGACATGTTACCCGTCCGACCATGGTAGTATGACAGGTTACCCGTCCGACCACGATAGTATGACAGGTTACCTGACAGACCAGGGAAGTATGACAGGTTACCCGTCCGATCACGATATTATGACAGGTTACCCGTCCGACCACGATATTATGACATGTTACCCGTCCGACCACGATAGCATGACAGGTTACCTGACCGACCAGGGAAGTATGACAGGTTACCCGTCCGACCACGACGTCCGACCACGGTAGTATGACAGGTTACCCGTCCGACCACGGTAGTATGACAGGTTACCCGTCCGACCATGGTAGTATGACAGGTTACCCGTCCGACCACGGTAGTATGACAGGTTACCCGTCCGATCACGATATTATGACAGGTTACCCGTCCGACCACGATATTATGACATGTTACCCGTCCGACCATGGTAGTATGACAGGTTACCCGTCCGACCATGGTAGTATGACAGGTTACCCGTCCGACCATGGTAGTATGACAGGTTACCTGACCGACCAGGGAAGTATGACAGGTTACCCGTCCGACCACGACGTCCGACCACGGTAGTATGACAGGTTACCCGTCCGATCACGATATTATGACAGGTTACCCGTCCGACCACGATAGTATGACAGGTTACCTGACCGACCACGGTAGTATGACAGGTTACACGTCCGATCACGGTCATATGACATGTTATTATTTACACTTACGTTACAGTCTCCAGATAAAGCTGTTGAATCCCCCTTGTTTGCATTGATATTACGTTTGGCGATCCGGTTCGAGCAAAAGTGTGTCATTCCTTTCAATAAATGTTTGTTTACACTCCGAAGTGTTATATAAACATGGTTTTAAAAGTGACATCCTAGTACTACACGATATAGATTCGCAAAAAAGTAAATAGAAAAATTAAATTGATAATTTTTTCTTGGAACAATTTTGTTGTTGTGAGCGTTGTCAATGACGCGATAGTATCGCCACCAACCGCTTCCAGAACAATATGTCTGTTCCAAAGAAATATATATAAGGTCGTATGTTTTAATGTACACATAAATATTTACACGATCCAAGAAATGTGTATATACTATAATATGTACTCAAATATATAGTACACTTCGATGCAGTTAAAAAGAAACGGTCCTTCAGTACAATAGTCCAAAAACAAGAGAAAGACAATATTGCGTACAGTCGGAAAGTACCATCTAGGATAAGCTGGCAATGCCAGGAATACGGGGTCCTGGTCGATACAGTATAATGTATCCCATGATCCCTGGGGAGAGTAACGCTGTATTTACTAGTACTTTTTATTGGACATTCTCATTGTTATCTGATCCGAGAAAATGATTTGCGTGGCAGAATGATTTACGTCATCCGGCAAATTACATATGTTATTCCTTCCTAGATGTGTGATTTCTGTCGTAACCGCCGATCAATTCCATAGACATATTAGATATAGCGCAATATGTACACTGTGATGTTTTCTTAGTTTAAAAAATGCAATGGCGACCGAATGTCCGATAGTGAATACGAACACATGAGTCACTGTGTATTAAATGGCATGCAGGGAAGGTTATGTCTGATCACGTAAGTAATGTGTGTTTAAGTTTCAGTAGAACTCGGTGTTTTCGGGTCCATTTGGTTCTCATTATACAATTGTAAAGTAGTACGAAGATCTTCGTACCAAATATAGTTGTCTCATCCTGAAGTGTTTTGTCAGTGCTAAGCACATGCAAGTGCACGTGTGTTATCAAATTACCTTTTCTTAGTTAGAGGCCTGTATAATTCAACATTCGACCTACAGTGCTTCAATGTCATTTAAAAGTAAACAATTAGGTTTTTTTTTTCAAACTGAACTGTCATCAATTACACTGAACTGTCATCAATTATACTGAACTGTCATCAATTATACTGAACTGTCATCAATTACCCTGAACTGTCTTTAATTACATGGAAAGGTCATCAATTACACTGATCTGTCAGCAATTACACTGAACTGTCATCAGTTACACGCAATTACACTGAACTGTCATCAATTACCCTGAACTGTCTTTAATTACATGGAAAGGTCATCAATTACACTGATCTGTCAGCAATTACACTGAACTGTCATCAATTATACTGAACTGTCATCAATTACACTGAACTGTCATCAATTATACTGAACTGTCATCAATTACACTGAACTGTCATCAATTATACTGAACTGTCATCAATTATACTGAACTGTCATCAATTACCCTGAACTGTCTTTAATTACATGGAAAGGTCATCAATTACACTGATCTGTCAGCAATTACACTGAACTGTCATCAGTTACACGCAATTACACTGAACTGTCATCAATTACCCTGAACTGTCTTTAATTACATGGAAAGGTCATCAATTACACTGATCTGTCAGCAATTACACTGAACTGTCATCAGTTACACGCAATTACACTGAACTGTCAGCAATAACACTGAATTGTCATCAATTACACTGAAATGTCATTAATTACACTGAACTGTCATCAATTACACTGAACTGTCAGCAACTACACTGAATTGTCATCAATTACACTGAACTGTCAGCAACTACACTGAATTGTCATCAATTACACTGAAATGTCATTAATTACTATAGAACCATCACCACTGTAAATAACTTAATCCGCTATCAGAATTTTTTTCGTTTCAACAACCCCCACCAAAACATTTATTGTCATATATCTAGTCGTAACATGAAGCGGTTCTAAAGACAGAAATATTTTAGTTAGCAAAATAATGTACAAAAAGCATTTTAAATTTCGACCAAATTTGATCAATAATCCTGGATTTAGTAAGCTCCACAGAAATATACATGCTGTCTTATTCAAACTGATGTCATTTCGTTCACTGAATTCATAATATATTTATTATTACAATGACGGTTACAGAAAAAGTTAATTCTCGTGAATCGAAAATGCTTCTTAAAATTTGGTGGTTAAAAATTTTAGAAATATAATTTCTTTATGCAAATAATCATTTGATTTGTCTGGATATGGTCCTAAATAATAGCTTTGTTTAAATTTAATACAACAACATTTCCTTTAACAACTGTTTCTAGAAACAGTTCTTCATACAGCATGTTCTTGTTCTACCTCTCCTTACAACTTACTGGAAGGATGAGCTCGATGAGCTGGAAAACACTAGCAACACATCCAATCTTAAACATTACGAAGTTCAGGTTAGAAATGTTTTAGTATTACAATAATTCAGATCAATGATAGGATACGGACCCTCTTTGTTTTTATTGGAATCCTAGATTACACATGAACCAATGCCAACAACATTAGATCGGTAGCTCGTCTAGTTGTTCAATGAAAGCGAACCAATTTCTAGTTATCATTCTTACCACTACTTAAACAGGTCAATAGTCGCAATGTGATGCTGTATACTCTACAGCTCCTAAAATGGTGCTCCTAAAATACATAATTTATATAACAGCATTCAAGTTTTACTCTCTACAATAATATGCCATAGGAATGTTCCCAGGTAAGATGAACGGCGGTAAGACCATAAGACAGTGATTCATACTATGGTGTATTTTGTTTAATATATTGTTTTGTTGGTAAGATCTCCCTAAAGACTTTTGTTTTGGTGGTTAGATCTTCCTAAAGACGTTTGTTTTGGTGGTAAGATCTTCCTAAAGACTGTTGTTTTGGTGGTTAGATCTTCGTAAAGACAAATGTTTTGGTGGTAAGATCTTCCTAAAGACTATATTGTCTTGGTGGTAAGATCTTCCTAAAGAGTATTGTTTTGGTGGTAAGATCTCCCTAAAGCCTATATTGTCTTGGTGGTAAGATCTTCCTAAAGAATATTGTTTTGGTGATCTAAGGATAGATCTCCCTAAAGACTTTTGTTTTTGTGGTAAGTTCTTCCTATAGACTCTTGTTTTAGTGGTAAGATCTTCCTAAAGACTTTTGTTTGGTAGTTAGAACTTCCTAAAGACTTTTGTTTTGGTGGTTAGATCTTCCTAAAGAATATTGTTTTGGTGAAAAGATCTTCCTAAAGACTCTTGTTTTTGTGGTAAGATCTTCCTAAAGACGTTTGATTTGGTGGTAAGCTCTTCCTAAAGACTTTTGTTTTGGTGGTAAAATCTCCCTAAAGAATTTTGTTTTGGTGGTTAGATCTTCCTAAAGACGTTTGTTTTGGTGGTAAGCTCTTCCTAAAGACTTTTGTTTTGGTGGTAAGATCTCCCTAAAGAATTTTGTTTTGGTGGTTAGATCTTCCTAAAGACGTTTGTTTTGGTGGTAAGCTCTTCCTAAAGACTTTGTTGTGGTGGTTAGATCTTCTTAAAGACGTTTGTTTTGGTGGTTAGATCTTCCTAAAGACGTTTGTTTTGGTGGTTAGATCTTCTTAAAGACGTTTGTTTTGGTGGTTAGATCTTCCTAAAGACGTTTGTTTTGGTGGTTAGATCTTCCTAAAGACGTTTGTTTTGGTGGTTAGATCTTCCTAAAGACGTTTGTTTTGGTGGTAAGTTATTCCTTAAGACTAATGTTTTGGTGGTTAGATCTTCCTAAAGACTTTTGTTTTGGTGGTAAGTTATTCCTTAAGACTAATGTTGTGGTGGTTAGATCTTCATAAAGACTATTGTTTTGGTAGTTAGATCTTCCTAAAGACTATTGTTTTGTGGTTAGATCTTCCTAAAGACGTTTGTTTTGGTGGTAAGCTCTTCCTAAAGACTGTTGTTTTTGTGGTTAGATCTCCCTAAAGACTAATGTTTTGGAAATTAGAATTTCCTATAGACTATTGTTTTGGTAGTTAGAATGTCCTATAGACTATTGTTTTGGTAGTAAGCTCTTTCTAAAGACTATTGTTTTGGTAGTAAGCTCTTTCTAAAGACTATTGTTTTGGTAGTAAGCTCTTTCTAAAGACCAGTGTAAAACTCTTAAAATGAATCGCGCTCCTCTCTGTGCCAAACTGTCTTTGTTTTCATTCCAGACTGAAAACATTGAAAAGCTAATCAAAATCAAAGACTTTTAAAGCGACCTAATAGCATGTAACAAAGACCTGGCCGTGTCCTTAAAAACTAGCCTTCAGATTACTTGACGTTGTCTTGTCATGGATAAGTCTTAATTCCCTTGTACATTTTCAATGGTTTCCGTGTAATTTATTTAGATATCGTTTGCTATCTTTTCGTTGGTATTGAGTCTGGTTACGTATGGCGGTGTTTTCCTGTTGTCAGATCCCCAGATTATAAAATGGAAATTCAAATAACACCTTACAAGGTCAAT